GTATTATAAATTCCTGATTAGAACCAGATAGGGATTCACCTGGTGTTGATGCTTGAGTGGTATCTGAAAGGATCTTCATGGTGCCAGGGTTAGGAGCTAGGCAGGGTTAGTGTCTCTAAGCTCTATATGTAATCAGCAAGCACAGAGAGAAAAACACTCTGGAACTTCTTGTGGAGAAAACTGCCTGTCCACGAGCAGTACAAGGAGGCCTGACATCCTAATTGAGGTTTTCCAAGATTCAGCTGCGTTTATAACCACCAGTGCATCCTGCCTGGGAAGGGGTTGGAGCTGTGGATTCTGCACCTTTGTGGATGTGGGCTGTGGCTGCCAGAACTTTCCCTGCTCCATTGCCCACACTGCCCTCGGGGCACCGCCTTGGTGGTGCTGGCTCCATCAGCGGTTCACACTCCCGCCCTTTGCTGGAGGCTCATTTCACTTGGGGAAATGCTAGATTTATTTTCTGTCTAGGTACAAAGTAGGGCTCCCAAGTTTTGAGAGTGTTAACAAAGTAAGCAGCAAAACAGTGAACCCAGCAGTTGGGGATGAGAAAAACCCTGCCAAAGAGCTGCACGGTGACATTTGAAACAACTGCAGACACCTCCTCATCCTAAAGAAAACAGATGAAAATATGTAAAACTAGCTTTTTTTGCAGAGTATTGGTAGTATTATGTTACCTTTAGAGCTGCATGTTTTTGCTTTATGTAAGGTCTTCTGCCCTGAAGAGACAAGACCTTAAAGTTTAAATACTGCCCACAGAAAAAGTGAGTGATGTGTGAATGAAGAGGGAAAAAACAAAGGATCAGGCTGGCTGGGAGCATTGTACTCAGGTCTAGTTACCTCAAAGTCAGGCCTAGATTTTTAATATAATTTCAGATTTTATAGATATTTTTATTCTTCTGACAGTTTTCCAATGTAAAATGCTTACCCAGGCTGAAAAAGACAAATCCAGATTCTCATTAACATTCCTACATGGCAAAATTTGCAGTCCATAAGCACTTTCCAGTATGTTGAACTACACCAAGTCAAGAATGCTGCAATAATTCAAGCAGGCAATCCTGTGCCATCAGAGGCTGATGTTTGGTGTCAGCAAGATTTGTATTCCAAGTTACATGAAATTTCCTCAGCTTTGGGGTTTTAGTTTTAAATAGAAATTCTGAAAACTTTAACATCATGGTAGTTACCATTGCTGTTCATGCCAAAGCAGTTTGATTTTCCAAGGGAAAAAACTTGGTTCCTGAGAAATGTTTTAACAAAAGCACAGCTAAATATGTAGCATCTCCTTAGCAATCAGTGTCCCCAAGAGCAAAGCTGTGTGACTGCATGAGTGTTTTCAGAGTGGGATGCATTTCCATAGCAGAAACTCCTTGGAGTCTGTGAGACTGCAGTGGTGCTGAGCCTTGTCCCAGCCCAACCTCCTCCTTTGTGCTGGCATTGCAAGGCAACTCACCCTCCCAGTGGGCCTGTGTGGGGAATTAAACCATCTTCAGATTGTTCCTAGGGGATTTGTTTGAGAATTACAAGTTGGCTTATTTCCCTGTGCATCCTCACTGCAGGTAAGATGAGTGGTGTAAGCTGTGGGCTGGGGTTGGAAAATGAGACCAGTTTCAGTTTGGTTAAACTGATGAGGAGCTGCATCATCTCTTTCACCACAGCCTTGCAGAACCCAACCAACACATCACAGGAGCAATGGGCTGTTAAAATATTAATGCTTACTTTCTTACTCTAAATTTGCAAGGACAGTATTTTTCACTTTCCTCTTCCAAAGCCTCCAACCCTATTTAAATGACAGGAGTTGATATGCAGAAATGGTTTACATTATATTCAATGATAGAATTTATGTAACTTCTAATTAAGCTGTCGTCACTTGGTACAAACCTCCTTAAGTGTTTGCGATGAAGAACTGCAAGAGTTAACATTTGCTACTGTAGCAGCTGCTACAGGGAGCTCTTGCCCAGCAGTGATTGCTGTGTCATCATCACAGGAGTGTGAGTGGGAATGTGAGTGTAAGTGGGAATCCGTGACCGTGTCTTCTCTGGTTGCCCTGCAGGCTGAACTCGGCTCCGGTGAAGGGCTTTGAGAAAGATGTGGGTGGCAAGACAACGCTCCGGATCACATATCCTGAAGGTGCAATCCAGAAAATGGAGCAGTATGAGAAGGATTCCCTGTTTGTTCTGGCAGGATTCAAATGGCAGGATTTCAAGTGGCTGAAATACATTGTTTACAAGGAGAAAGTGGTAAGAATGATGTCAGCTGACACTGTGAAGGTCACCTAATTAATAACGATGGGCAGACTTTATATCACCATTTTATCTGCCACATTTCGGTCTGAGGAGAGTTCCACTCTGTATCCTGCTGCATTTAAGTGAAGACTTTCTTTACCTACATGGACTTCAGCTTTAATTAAATATGTTTTACAAAGACATCTCTCTGTAATCTGTGTTGCATCACAGATGAGGCTTGCTATTCAAGACTGTTAGTGTGTACTATGAACAATTAAATTAATTTTTAGTTATCTTAAAGAGTATTTAAAAGGACCAGCTTTTGCATGAATTTTATGGGCTCTTAGGATTTAAGAGCAGAGGAAGGAAAAGAGAAATGGGAAGGGGAAGAAATGAAATGGGAGTTTGGGGACAAGGATCTGATGTCAGAGGAGGGGAGGAGGAGACAGCGGCAGCACAACTTGTTGAAAAGGCTACAATCAGACTTAATGTGCCCTCCTGAATAGCACAAGCCATTATATTTTGCTCAGTTACTGAGATTCATGATTTGTGTTTGCTTAAAGTATCATCCAGAACAACAGTATCAAGTCTCATTTTAAAACACTAAAGTGGTGGATGTACTGCTTTCCCCATGTAAAAATTTGACCCCTTCATTTGCATGAGTGCCTTTCTGAAGCATCATGGACCTATTAATAATTAGGGTTGCTCTCTTTAATTCTCCTATCCAGAATGGAATCAGGTTGTGATCAATGACTTCTCATTCAGTGGATGGTTTGTCTGTCAGGAAATCCCAAATAAATAATGGGTATAGTTCTTGTTTTACAAATCTTATATATCTGTTTTCAAATGTTGCTTAATGACTTTTCATCAAATAAGAAGACAAATGAATTAGCATTCATGGGATGGCATGTTATATTGTGTATTTAGAGACAGAGAAAGGAGGTTGGCAGCTCACCACACACAGAATAAAACAGTCTGGGAATATAATTGTATATGGTTGTTACAGAGAGGGCCTTAAGGGCTCATACTTTGCTCTTGTCTAACACTGGCACCAACTTGCAATTATTTTCTTGCTACCAGACAGATGAAGTTACCTGTCAGCCTCTGGGCAAGCACAAGTGGGCTTTCGTAACATGAATAAATGAGTCAAAAGTAATTTTCCTTGCTTTATGTCAGGCTCTTGTTCCTCATTCAGGGAAAGCCCTGGCAGTGTCAGTGCCCTGCAATCTGAATGCACTTGCAGGGACTCCTGGTGTTTAGCTTGAAGCTCAAAGGATGGGTTGGTTTACTTCAAAACAAATTGAATTTCCACCTGATGCTTGCAGTCAAGTCATCATCACTAGATTCTTCTGTGGTATCCCCTGCTCATGGGAGGATGCAACAAATAGTCTGCTAAAACCTTCTAGACCGGGGAGATGGATTGCAGCTCTCTTAACTGAGTGCTTCAGTGCCCAGCTTGGCAGAGAGCAGAAAGAACTTGAGTTTTGTGCATTACTTCAGTGTTCTTGTGATTGGCTCCTTATCCTTCAGTTCTTCAGAATAAACATTCTAAGATTTTTTCAGTTCTTTTAGGTGATGTTTTCCAGATCTCTTAATTCCTGTTGCTCTTTTGAGTGCTTGTAGTTAATTCATCTTTTTCTTAAGGAGCAGTGCCCAAAAATGTACAGACTACAGCAAAAAGGAGGAACAAATAGATAATTCAATAACCTCAAAGTTCTCATTCTTTATACATCCACTGTTTCAATGGCCTTTTCCACAATGGCATGGAACTGAGGGTGAGTGTTGGATTCCTGGAGACTCCAGGTCTTGGGAAGAGCTGGAGAGCAGCCACTTCCCCCGCTCCACACCCTGTGCTTGTGCTGCTGGCTCCTCGTGCCAAAGAGCAGCATTGTGCACTTCTCCCTGCTGATCCTTTCTTCCAGGACACTCCTCCAGTTTGCCAAGTTCCTTTGGCAGAGCTTCCCAGCATACCTGCCATTCTTTCCAGATTCATGTCCTCTGCAATTTAATGAACATATTTTTTACTTCATCATCCAGGTTGATAATGAAAACACGAAACAACGTTGGTTCCTAGGCAGACCCCGAAGTACTAACATCCTTCCATTCCTCGAGTGAGCCCACTGAGCCTCCTGGATAGTTTTTTGGCCACTTCTGAACTTGTATCACAGTTGTATCATCAATAATGCTTTTGGCATGTTTGTGAAAGTGTTCTGCCAGAAGCCATACTAAATTCCAGTTTATGTCTTGCTTCTCCCCTATGGTAATTTTTTGTCTGTATAAAGAAATTCTTTTAAAAATAATTCACTCTTGACAAATCCACCTGGGTTGCTACTCTGTTATTTTACAGGTGCTTACATATAATTAATCCTGCTATTCTGGGAATTGAAATCATAATTCAACTCCCTTCACCTTTTTGCCTTCTTAATGCTAGGCACTACTTTTGCCCATTTTTCAATCCTTTGACCCTCTACCTGTTCCACACAAGTTCCAAAGGGAATCAATGCTAGCTCTTGAGGCTGCTGAGCCAGTTCAAGTACTTTAGGATGCGGCCCAGGTGACTGAGAACATCTGTCTTACGTTCTCTTGTGCTCTAGTCTGATTTCTCTCTGCTTGAGGCTGAGATCTTGCTGTCACTGGCTTCAGCTGCAAGCAGGTGGCTCACACAGCTGCTTTTTCTAGAGGAATCCAACACACAAAGTGCTGTCTCTTAGATAGGAATGACACTGGAGAACCAGCAGTGCTGTGGGAATAGCTCGTAGGCGTCTGTTTATTCTGGTAGTGAGTGTTAGTATTTTAATCAGTGTGTGGTAAGTTCAAAATGACAAATGTCTGTCCAGTGCTCTCTGTGTGTCAAGTGTGTTTCTCTCTTAGCTGGTTTTCCAGAGAAAGGGGAGTTTCTGCCTTTCCTGCATTTATCTAGAGGCACTTGCATGACCTGAGAGCTCTGTATGCCACTGCTGCTTATTCCTTATCTGACATGTCCATTTGCAAGACTTCGTCCCTGTTTCAAACCAGTGGTTGCAGTCAGGAGTCTGACCTCAGGAAAGAGAAAAGGAAAATGGAAGCATTCTGCTGAAGAACACAACTGCTGTGAAAGTTGACACATTCCTCAAAAAAATGGGCTGATCTCTGCCCTCTGATGTTTCCTCTGTTTGTGACTGATGATGGCAACTGCACATGTCCATGGTACAGTCACAGGTACGTAATGAGACCTTCTGAATTCCTTCAGGCACCTGGAGAAGCTTGGACCTGCTGGACCAGAGATTCCAGGCTGGGATCCTTGCTTAGTCCTCTCTTGAGTAAGTGAAATCAGAGGGAGCTTATCTGAGAAAGAGTAAATGAAAGGCAAGTGGTTATTTATTGCTGGGTCAGTGGTCAGATAAGCTTATTCTCCCTGCAGCTGAGAGGGATTTGCTCCGTGCTGTCTTTTGGCAGCACTTGCGTACTGAGGAAGGGGTAAGTGCTGTGTAGAGAGGAGGATTTTCAGGAGATGTTATAAGGAAAAAGAATCAGTGTGATGCAGAAGCAGCAGCAGAACAGTGGGGCAGGGGATTTTATGTGTTACACACAGTCTGGTGCAACAGCCTCCCTGATAACTGTGTGATGCCTTAGTGCCCTGGGGGACACTATATCCAGAAACAGGAACAGTGGAATATGGACCTAAGGAAGTGTAAAAGCTCAGCAGCTTTTTATTTTACACTAAACCAGAAGGATCTGGAAGCAAGCAAAAACTTGAGAGTAAACATTAATCTAGAAAAAGGACAGGTTTGGCTAAATGTTCACTGTCAGCAACAAAACAAAGGTAGTCTCCATCACAGAGTTCTGGCTGAGGTGGCACTCCAGATTGAAGTCTTGTAGGAAGTTAGAGCATAGTGTATCACCAGAGAATGTAGACCTGCCTTTAAGAAAGGGAAGAGTGAGTGGATCTGAGTGACTAAAATGCTGGTAACTTGATTTCAGTCATTTGACAAGCATTAGAATAAACTAAAGGAGAAAATCATTGCACTGGTTGCAGCTAAAAGGAGTGTGGGATGGAGAAAGGTGCCATGGTTAGCAGAGGGGAGTATTGCACCATGCTGACCTAATAAGTCAGTGTACAAGTGGAAAGGAAGTGGGTTGGAGTCCCAGAGCCTGCAGTTCCATGAACTCATGGCTGTTGCAGAAGGGTCACAGATGTGAGCTGTTCGTGCGTCTGTGGTGACTGGTCTGGCAGTGCTGACTTGGAATGATTGCTGTAAGAGCCTGTGATACTTCCAGGCACCCCTTTGCTGATGAAATGACTGCTGCCAGCGCATCCCCAGAGGGGGATTACTCATGGACAGTCACTCAGAACAGTTACACTTTCCCCTGAACTGCTATTTTTGCCAAGAGACATAATCTATATATATTGTGATCCACCCTGCTGCTTCCCACTGCTTGTACCCTCCTACATCTGCCTGGATCTCTCAGTGACAGAAACTCTTTCTGAATACACAAAGTACCAGAGGAATTGCAGGGGCATAGGAGCTTGGCCATATATTACTCTTCTTAAAATAGTGGTCAAAAGCTGAAAGTTTCTCTATTGCATGGGAAGTAGATGCTTCCTGAAACAAACAGGAATTTACAAGCTCCAGATATGCAAAGCAGCCATCTCAGCCTAGTACTGAGGCCAATTCCAGGGTTGTTTCTTGGCTGTCATTAGTGAATTAGAGGGAGCTCTCTTGCTTGTTAGGGCTCACATCCCTGAACACCTGGCACACAGCAATAAAGCAGCCAAGTGAGGGCAAAGGTGCCACTAGAAATTGGCAGCTCACAAGCTTCCTGCTCATGTGGAAATGAGCCTGTGGATGATTCCAGTGGGGATCTCTGCAGCTTTTGCCAGGAGGAGCCACTTGTGCAGAAAGTGCCTGCGGCACCTAGAAGTTCTCTTTGATAGTGAAAGTCATAGGAGCAAGTGAGCACCTGCCTGTGAGTGATGCCAGGCTGTCTGTCTGTCCCTTGCAGGGACATGTCTCTGACAGCTGGCCCACAGCAGT